CATCCGGTTTGAACCGGTTTGATCCGGTTTGAACCGGTTCCATCCGCTTTGAACCGGTTTGATCCAGTTCCATCCGGTTTGATCCGGTTTGAACCGGTTCCATCCAGTTTGATCCGGTCTGATCCGGTCCAAACTGGTTTGAGCCAGTTCTATCCGGTTTCAACCTGTTCAATCCGTTTTGAACCGGTTCGATCCGGTTTGAACCGGTTCGATCCGGTTTGAACCGGTTTGATCCTGTTTGAACCGGTTCCATCCGGTTTGATCCGGTTCCATCCGGTCTGAACTGGTTTGAGCCGGTTTGATCCGGTCCCATCCGGTCTGATCCGGTTCTATCCGGTTTGATCCGGTCTGAAGCGGTCTGATCCGGTTTTATCGGGTTCGGTCTGGTTTGGTCCGGTCTGATCTGGTTGGTCTGATCCGGTTTGGTCCGGTCTTTTCTGGTGTGGTCCAGTTTGGTCTGGTCTCATCCGGTTTGATCCGGTCTGGTCCGGTTTGGTCCGGTTTGGTCCGGTCTGGTCTGGTTTGGTCTAGTCTGATCTGGTCTCGTCTGGTCTGGTTTGGTCTCGTTTGGTCTTGTCTGGTCTGGTCTTGTGTCGTTTGGTCTAGTCTTATCTGGTCTCGTTTGGTCTGGTTTGGTCTGGTCTGGTCTCGTTTGGTGGAGAGGAGGAAGACTGGGTGGAGCAGGTTCAGAAATCAGTCAGGAGTTCAGTTTTCAGATGAAGAAAACGAGGCTAGGGGGGTTCAATGACCTGCCCAACATCGCCAGCTAGTTAGTGACAGTTAAATCCCGTACTTGAAATTCAGACTATCTGACTCCAAACGCTTCTCACCATCTAAGAGGTATCATAGGGAGGTTCTTAATTTTTTGTGGGTGAGTAAAGGAGGTCTAGAAAGAGGCAATGGAATTTTCTTCTGGTAATTTCGGGATCAAGTTACCACTCAAACTTGAGTGTTATGGGCTCCAATTCTGATTTGTTCCCGAACTTGTGTGAGCACATCTGCGGGAGGGCATGTGTGGGGTGGGGGAGAGGGCCCCTTGTGTGTGCCCTAGCCTGATGGATGCCATGCTCTGCCTCTCCAGCTTCCTGCTGCAGGCCTGGGGAGGGCTGGGGGTCTGGGAGTGGATGTGCCCCAGATGCCAGGGGGTGGAGTCTACATGGCCCTTGTACTGCCATGGTGCTCGACTCCAGGTAACCCTTGCTCCCTTTGTGCCTTCCCTTTCCTCCCTACTCGGGCCACACAGTGGAGGAAGTGGACAACACAGTGACACTCATAATTCTGGCTGTCGTGGGCGGGGTCATCGGGCTCCTCATTCTCATCCTGCTGATCAAGAAATTCATCATATTCATCCTGAAGAAGACTCGGGAGAAGAAGTGAGTTGACCTGGAGCACACTCCTGTCCTCCCAGCAGCCCACCACCCTCTCATCTACCCCCATCAGCTTTCAGCCTTCCACCTGCCTCCTCATTCCCCCCATTCCCATTCCTACTGCTCTCTGTTCTATCCCTGCCACCCCCACCCCATCTCTCAGCCCCCCTCCTTGCTTTCTTTCTTCCCCATCCTCCCAATGTGTATTTATTGAATACATTCAATTCATTGAATACACAAACGCCAGCCACCTACTCTTCCTCATCCCACTGTCTTCCTTCCCGTCCCATTAGCCTCTCTTTCCATTTGTACCACCCAACTGAGAGCCTTACCAAAGAACTCAGGGAGCCTTTGAAAAAATCAGAGAAAATATAAGATTCCATGTACAGAGACTCTAAAATGGGAAGACCCTTCTAGGGAGATGGGAACGAAATTCTTCTGTTAGGAAATTCTGAAACTTCAGTAGGGGGTGATTTTTTAAAAGTTTGAAATGGCAGCTATGGCCTCCCAGGGAGCCCTAGGAAAAGTTCAGGTATAAAAATAGACATCTATAAGGGGAAGGGGAGGGAAGATGGGGAGGTACGGAGGGTGCAACCCTCAAGCCTAGAGTTTTTGGAACAGTATCAGACAGGCTCCAGAGCAGCATGTGGTGAACCTTGCAAAACTAGAGCAGGGAAAAGGCATTTGAAAGTTGTGTCCTGAGCAAGACAGATGCGATGAGATGGCTTCCCATTGGAACAGACAGGGTGATGGTAACCACGAGATCCAGAGAAGGGAGAAATGCTCTACTCTGCTCCTGTTTGCTGAAACATTCTGCTCTGCTGAGAAGAGGGAATTCCTCTGGAAAGGGCAGAACTTACTCTGGAAAGAGGGGGTGGAAGTTGGAGGTAGGGAGGGGATGTACAGGTAGCAACACTGGGGCTGTGGACCAGGGGAGGACCCCAGAACTGGGCTGTTGATGAAGAGCTCCAGGGTTGTCTGCCTGCCTTGTGGCCAGAGGCTGTGAGGGTTTTGGTGATCTTGTGAGGGGCCAGAAGTGTGGAGCTTGACTAGGTTCTGTTTTTAATAACCAGTTTTACTATCGATGGATGGAGAACATATTTGTCAATATATGGTTTACAAGCACCTAGAAAAGACAACAGTGTTCCTTCAGAGTCACAGTGAGTTGTGGTTTTTTTTTTTTTTTTTTGAGACGGAGTCTCGCTCTGTCCCCCAGGCTGGAGTGCAGTGGCCGGATCTCAGCTCACTGCAAGCTCCGCCTCCTGGATTCACGCCATTCTCCTGCCTCAGCCTCCCGAGTAGCTGGGGCTATAGGAGCCCGCCACCTCGCCTGGCTAGTTTTTTGTATTTTTTAGTAGAGACAGGGTTTCATCGTGTTAGCCAGGATAGTCTCAATCTCCTGACCCAGTGATCCGCCCGTCTTGGCCTCCCAAACTGCTGGAATTACAGGGTTAAGCCACTGCACCCAGCCCACAGTGAGTTTATTAAAAACAAGACATGCTAAGCTGGATGTGTGTGCCTGAAGTCCTGGGCACTGCTGTGGAGGAGGGACACACTGAAGTCAGAGCATGTCCAGCTCAGGGCAGTCAGGGTGGAACGGCTCCCGGGAGGTGTCTTCCCATCTGACCATCTCTCCTTCCTGCTGTCTTCTGCTCCATCCCACCAAACTCTGCCCAGACCTGGCTTGAAGCCAAACCCACTGCCTGCTCTGCCCCTTCCATGGACTCTGTTCTTCTCTTAATACCGCTGGTCACAGAGAGCTCAGGGAGGAAGGCGTGGGGGGCCTGGGGAGAGGGACTCTGTCCTCACCATACTTCTTGCTGGCCTGGACCCCTCCCCCTGCTGTGGCACAGCCTGGGAATGGACCCCTGGGAACAGCACCTGGTGCCCTTTGCTTTCTGCCATGTTGAGACGACTAGGTGACAGCTAAGCTTTATTGAGAACTTTCTTTTTTTCTCTTTTTGAGACAGTCTCACTCTGTTGCCCAGGCTGAAGTGCAGTGGCATGATCTCAGCTCACTGCAACCTCCGCCTCCCAGGTTTAAGTGATTCTCCTGCCTCAGCCTCCCTAGTAGCTGGGACTATAGGCACGTGCTATCACTGGCTAATTTTTGTATTTTTAGTAGAGATGGGGTTTTGCCATGTTGGCCAGGCTGGTCTCGAACTCCTGACCTCAAGTAATCCGCCTGCCTTGGCCTCCCAAAGTGTTGGGATTACAGGCATGAGCCACTGCTCCTGGCCAGTTGAGAACTTTCTACATGCCAGACACTGTTCTAAGTACTCATTTCTGCTTCCAGCAACCCCATGCAGAAGGTGTCATCCCTACATCTATTTCACAAATGAGGGAACTGAGGTACAGAGAGGTTAGGTGACATGTTCTCTGGCTACCTTAGCTCTGCAGAAGGCCAGGGAGAGGCATAGGGCTGGGTGCAGGGCCCACAGCTCTCGCCAAAGTTCTCCCCCTACTCTTGCTCCTCTCCTCACCACTGTCCCCTCTCTCTCTCTCTCTAGGAAGGAGTGTCTCGTGAGCTCCTCAGGGAACGACAACACGGAGAATGGCTTGCCTGGCTCCAAGGCGGAGGAGAAACCACCTTCGAAAGTGTGAGCCCTGCTTCGGGCTAAGCAGCTACAGGGAGCCCCCTTTCTGATGACGAAACTAATGCTTGAGCCCCGTCCGTAGAACCCATGTGCCTGAGACATCTGCTGCTTGGCTCAAACTGTAGTCTTTCCGGGCACAAGAAACCGGAGTCCTGCCCAGCCTGCCCATCCCCTTCCCAGTCAGGGCTCCCCAGGGACAAGGGATGGCCAGGGGAGGGGGTCTGCGGAAGATTCAGGAGAAAGAAACGAGAGGCTAGGGTGGTGTTGAGGGGCTGGTCCCCTGACACCTGGGCAGATGGGGTCTCCTTCGGTCTCCCCACCCTGCACAAACAGGGCGTTGGTTTTCCTCCAGGCTTCTCTTCACAGGGGACTGGGAGGATCCGTGAGGGCTGTCCTAAGAGCTGGGCCCTGGAGATGGGGTGTAGGAAGAGGTGGCTTCCTTTGGAGGTGGGAGTGAGCTGGAGGACTCTGGAAAAGACCTGGGGTAGGAGTTGATGGGGGCAGGCCCACAGTGAGAAGCTGCCTCGGCTTCATAGGATGCCAGATCCCCTACAGTCCCCCAAGTAGGGAACTTCCTTTCCCCTGCCTCGGGACCCTGTCTGCCTATTCCCTCCCCTGCTCAGAGTTTTTAAGCCCTCCCAATCAGGGCTGGCCGCCTTATCTTGAGAGGTTCTGGCCACCTAGCCTGCTCCTCTGCTCTCTGGGCTACTGAGGGGCTCAGGAAGGGGCCCCTCGAGCCTTCCTGGAGCACCAGAGTGCTCCCTATGCCTTTCCTAGCATTTTTACTTGGGGAATTGGGCCGCAGAGGTAGCGAACCAGTGTCCTGGGCTTCTGGGATGCCCGCCCCATCCCTGCCAATGCTGGCAATCCCTCCCCTGGCATGGCAGGACCATCACCACTCTGGGCACTCCCGAGTTCAGCTCTCCCCTGTTGTTCCTCCTCCTACTTGAGAGGCTGCACCCTCCAACCTCCCACTGGCTCGCTCCTCCCTTGCCATCCATCACGCCCTGCCCCCAGGGTTGTTCATTTCCCAGCCCTGGGTCAAGGGCCTGCCTTCGCCTCAGGGACTTTCTTCCTTTGGGTGAGGGGGTCCTTGGATTTCCCAGATGCTTCCTGCTCAGCTGGGCCACCCCCTCCCACCTTGGGGTTGGGGAGGAGCAGGGAGTGGATGCCTGTAGTTTTCCTTTGTTTCTCCCAGAGCTGGTTTGCACACCCCTTGTGTGTGGGGCTAGACTGTGCCTTAGTCCTGAGTCCTAGCCCTTACCCCAGTCCTCTCCAGCTGGTATGTCCTGACATAACAGCAGAGTCTGGTGTGGCGCTGGTGAGGGTTCGCCAGCCCTCCACTCCCCAAGGTCATAGAGGGGGCCATGAGGCTGGAATTGGCCAGTGACTGAATCTTGGAGACACCGGCCATTTCTAGCCTGCCCTAGCGGGAGGTGGTGATGTTGGGAGTGGGATCTCCTGATGGAGCCCAGTGTGTGAGTCCCTGTGGGGCAGAACTGGTGAGGCCAGGGATGGTAGGGAAAAGTGATAACAGGCCTCTCTGCCCAACTGCTTCCAGTCCCTCTCTCCCTTACTGATTTTTTGATGCCCTGTCTTCTGGGCCACTAGGAGGGATGAGAGAGTAGTAGCCCTCTTTTTCAGAGAGTTTGGGATCTGCCTTAGAGCTCTCCCTGTCAAAAAGTAGTTGCAAACCTTGAGAGGGTGGAGGAGGGGGAGACTGAGGACCAGTAGCACCTTCAGGGTACCCGTGGCTGTGGCCAGTGTCCCTTAGCCAACCTGCTGGGCTCATCAGTTCCCTGTCTGATCTGCCTATGCGCCTCCCATTCTTCTCTACCCAGAACCTGTCACGGGCTGGGGTTCAGATTTTCCTGGCTTTGGGAGCAGACAGACCAGAGCCACCAGCCATTCAGAGAACTTCTGATAGCTGCCTTCATGCAAAACTGCTTTCTTCTTCCTTCTCAATGGTGACATTTGAAGAGGCGGAGCACCTTGGAGCTCCTCTTCTCATCTTAAGAGAAAGCCAAGGCACGTAGAGTAGGGAGAGGAAGGGCACCATCCTCTCTTTCCTCCCCTTGGTCTACTGCTGATTTCTAGATGGATCATGCAGCTTCTCTGGGCTCAGCTCTTTCCATCTACCAAATAAATGGGTGTAATAATACTTACCTACCTCACAGGACTGTTGTGAGGCTTGGCGAGTTTTGTCTAAAAACTTCTTTTTGGCTTGGAAAGGGATCTGGGAAGCCAGGTATTAATTGCAGGGATAGTTCCAAGTCTGTCCTGTCTTCATCTCCGTGTCCCATCTCTACAACACACACACACACACACACACACACACACACACACACACACACTCTTTCTCTCTCTGTCTCTCTTTCTTTCCATCCCACCCCCTTGGAATTATTTAGTCTTTGCAATATTAGAAACCTTGACTCTGATGCTTAAAGCTTCTTGTCCATGGCTCTTGTTTGATGGTTTTCAATAGAGGTGATTGAGATTGTAGGGGAGCATTTTTGGTTGTCCCCATGCCTGGGGGCACTACTAAGAATGCTAAACTTAGTCCCCGCAACAAAGAATCATCCTGTCCAATATCAACATTATACCCATGGAGAAACACTGGCATGGATTTGTACTAGGATGTATGTGGGCAAAGCTGTCTTCCCCAAGTGGACCCTCAGTGCATGCAAATCTCTGATGGTGGCTTCCAGGGCTTGTGGGCTAGAGAGAGCCACTTACAAACACGATCTTGAGAGACCTGGGCGCATGCAGCTGCGCTGAGAGTGATGCCAGTGAGACCAAAGACAGAGTTCCGAGCTCCTCATCAACTACAAAATATGACATCAGCATTCCAGGTTCTGGGCTTCTCCTCATGTAGGAATTGAACAGAAAGCAGCCCAAATAAACCCCTGATGCTAGAGGGGCCTGGGGAGAGCAGCCGATGGGGCTCAGCCTATATATGGCAGGCCGATCAGAGCTCCTGTGGAGCGAGAGCGTGAGAGCATGCTTGTGAGATGGCAGGAGGTGGGGTGTGCTTGTGTGGAGTGTGCGTGTGCAGGCAGTATGGGTGCATGGTGACGTGACTGTGGAGTGGGTGGGCTGTGCATGGAAGGGGTGATGCGTGATGGGGAGGTGCTGGACATTTCAGGAGCCGTCTTTCTTGGCCTGAGCTGTGCCTGTTGAGGCATCTGGAGACTGAGAAAGAATCAAAGATAGAGAAGACCAGCCGTGCTCCTACATTCCATCACTCCATGACTTCATCTCACTGTTACAGACAGCTGCCATCAGAGGGCTGGCGGGAGGGAGTTCCAGGAGCGGGGACTTCTCGGGAAAATCCTATAGCTTGCTTTACTTTACTTTGTCCCAGGTTGGAGTCCCTACCCTCCCACCTCCCACCTGATATGCAGTGCTTTTGACTATCTTATGCATGGTTTATTCCTCTGGCTTGGATGACAACAATACCCATAGTGAATTTTCCTATATAACTATAGATCAAATGATGCAGCGATGGGTCTTGGGAGGCCTCAGGTGTGTGAGTGCCTCTGGGAGGCGCGGATGTACACACACCCAGAACTCACTTGTGTTCAAGCTCAGAACGGATGTAATCAGACTGGCCTCTACAACAAGTTTTGCATTGTAGAATTGTATTTAGCTTTGCCTTGGATGAAATAAAAATTATGTTTAATAGTTTGGGATTTGGGCGCTTCGATTTTTGACTGATTGGGGGTTGGGGTCCAGTTTTATTTCTTGCCAGCTGTGCTCAGGACAAGTTCCTTTACCTTCTCTGAGCCTCAGTCTGTTTGTGTCTGAAATGTTACCTGCCTGGGTGAAATAACACATACAAACTGCTTAAGAACCTCTGGCACATTCACAGGCGTTTGGGTCGTTTTCATTCCCATACCTTCTCTGGAGAAGTTGGCAAGGTGGACCTTTAATACTGGAATCATTGCCAGGGCCCTCCTGGTATGGATGACCTTGATCATGACCCTGGCACCACAAATGTTACAACAGCTCCTCCTCCAGGCTCTCTCTCCTTCCCTCCCCCGGGTTAGTATTTAGGTCCAGGTAAAATCTGCTTCACACGAACGCCTACCTTCCAAAGAGAGTTTCCGGGTGCTGGGCATAAGGCCAGTGCCTGGGAAGGAACTGGGGATACATACCAATGTGTAGGTGTTTGTTTATATTCTTGGACTTCCTCATACCACAATTTCTTACCATACTGTATTCCCTTCAATGGATTCACCTCACACTGCATTTCAAAAGGTTCCAGACACTAAGTACTCAGAAGAGCTTGTTGAAAGACCCTGTCTTCTCTGTCAAGGACTCCAGGTATGCAGAATCAGTTTTGGCAGATGTCCCTGCCAGCTCTGCCTCCTCCAGCCCTCAGCTATAGAGACTGCACTGTGCTCCTGCCCTGAATGGATTCACCACCTGGGTTCCCCACACAGCCACTTTCCTGTCTTCAGGTACTTCCTGTAGCCTGGGACCTCCTGCTACCTTTGCATCTGCAGTACACCGGTTGGATATTGAGGTTTCGTGCGGCAAGCCTGGGTTTAGAACACTTGGGATGCCATGCATTGAACTTGCAGTTACCCCTGTAAGGATCAGTCCCCAGGTCTGATTAGGTCTCTGTCATTGCTCTGTTTCATCCCTACTGCCTTTCCCCACCCAACAGCCATTATAACTGACAGATGGCCCAATGTCTCAAAACCACATTAGGAACTGGGACTGTCCTGGGCAAACCTGGATATAGGGTCACTCCCTGTTAAGCTCCATGCTAGCCCCACGCTAACTCAATGGGGACTAACATACACACAAATTAAGGGTCCTTAATCTGAGCTGGTGGCAGGCACGCAGATCAGATTGACTTTAGGAGGTCTGTACACCTAAAAATAAAGGTGAAAGTGAACATACGTGCTTAGGGGATCTTTCAGAAGGCCTTGGTACAAAAGCTGGGAATTATCTTCTACTCCCCCACATTGGTGTTAGGAAAGAAGCTGGTTACACTTTCCTCTCCTGCCTCCTCAAGTATGTCATCTTCTCCGTTGCTTTCAGAAGAGAGAGGGGAGCTTCGCTGACCCCAAGGGCTAGGCCTTTGCATTAAAGGAACAGAAAAGATTTCTTTTGATAGACCCTTTGGTCTTTTGGCCTTTGGGCCTAATTTCTTTGTCTTTGGCCAACTCTCCTCCCCCGCTTGCATTCTGCAAGCCCCAGATTGGGTCGCTTGACTCCCGGTGGAGAACAACCCTTTAGCTCCCTATGTTCAGCTTTCCAGGAGGCTGGGGGGTATCCGTGCAAATTCACACACTTAACAGAGGAGGCAACAGCACAGGTGCATCTGCTGCAAAATGGTAGACAGTTACCAAAAAGAAGTCTGGACCCTAGGAGTAAGCAGTCTCTCAGATTGTGGGGAAGGTGGCTCTTCTAGATTATGGGAAGGGGGAACCCTGGTCTCTGACATTCAGAGGCTAATTGGAGGAAGAGTAGGCCAAGAACGGGACTGATGAGGAAGCACCCAAGGGCAAGGCAGAGTGATGTCTTTGAGGCCAATATAGAAACAGTGTTAAGAACAGGGTGACCATCGCTAAGTTAAGGACTAATCCTTGCCCCTTGGTCACTGGTGACCTCAGTGAACCCAGAAAAGTGAAATGGGTCAGCCAGACGCGGGGAGATGGCAGAAGCTTGATTCCAGTATGTGGAAGAGTCAGTAGGAGGTGGAAAATGGCCCTGGTGCATAGGTTACAATTTCAAGTAACTTAGCTGTGACAGGCATTGGCCCTGGTAGGAAGGAGGGTAGATGGTTTTCTTTTAAAGATGGAAGAAATAAAAAAAAGTTAAATGCGCATGAGGAAGAGACAGTGGAGCCAGACAGCCTGCAGTAGTTGAGAGAGAGGAAAGAAAGTGTCATTTGGGTGGACGCAAGGGGATAGGATCCAGTGGCTAGGCAGAATGATTGGCCTTAAGACAGGTCAGGTCACACCTCTGGCACCAAGACAGAGGAAAGGGTGTCAAGGCGAAATGAATGCAGGTAAATCTGCAGAGGGGGCAGGGCAAGAGGTGGAGAGACTTTGCTTTACAGTCCTTGGTTCCTATGGTGTTATCAAGTCATTTGGAGAGCAAACTTAAGGTTGAAGCCAAAGAAAGCTGAAGACCCTCCCAATTCAGGAGCCCCAGGGCTCCCACTTCCTCAGGCAGATGGCCAGCCCTTCCGCTGCCATTCTAACTGGACCTGTGCACACTGTAGCAGCAGAGGGCACACAGCAGGAGGGGGGATGTTCTCTCATAGCTCATTGCTTAAACAAAGCCACCTGCAGTGCTAATAGGAAAGATGTAGGGTTCCCTTCCACGGCCTGCAAGCAGATATAGAAAAGAACAATCCTGGACTTAGAATACAGGAACCTGGGTTCAAGTTCTCACTCTGTTACCTACCAGTGAAACGGCATTGGGCAAGCCACTTCATCTCTGCAACACTCAGTTCCCTAACCTGCAAAATGGGAATGATGAAACCTACTGCATAGTACTCTTGTGAGATTAAATGAATCAACAGGTGTGATATACATACATATATATATACACATATATATATATATATAGAGAGAGAGAGAGAGAGAGAGACAGAGTCTCGCTCAGGCTGCAGTACAGTGGCACAATCTCAGCTCACTGCAACCTCCACCTCCTTGGTTCAAACAGTTCTCCTGCCTCAGCCTCCCAAGTAGCTGGGATTACAGGCGTGTGCCACCAGGCCCAGCTAATTTTTTTATATTTTTAGTAGAGATGGGGTTTTGCCACGTTGGCCAGGTTGGTCTTGAACTCCTGACCTCAGGTGATCCACCCGCCTCAGCCTCCCAAACTGCTGGGATTACAGACGTGAGCCACCACGCCTGGTCTGAAATACTTTAAAAACTACAAAGTGCAGACCATGTAAATGTTAAGCAGTTTGTAAGCTGAGCCAGCATTACGGGAAGAAAACCCAGGTATGGCCAGCACTGAGCTCACACCCTCCTGTTCCTGGTCAGGAGGGGCTGTCAGCTGAGTGGGTCGGGGCTGGGAGGGGAGTGGCCAGTATTAAGAAATGACTTCCTGGCAGACTTGGTTATGTCAACTGCCCAAAACCAAACTCATGATCTCACCTCAATCTGACTCCAAATCTGCTCCTCCCCATGTTTCCCCATTCATCCAGTCATCAGGCCAAAACTTTTAGAGTCTACCATGACTCCTTATTTTGTCTTCGACCTGAAACCTTTTTATCAGCAAATCCCATTGGCTCTATGTTCAAAATATATCATCACCTCAACTACCTCTTGCTGCCACCATCCCTACAGTCCTGAC